CATTTCGAAGCTTTTAAGTGAAATTAAATTTGATTGCCTGGAAGACATCGACTTAATCAAAGAAAGAGCCTGTTTGAAGTGGTCATCAGTCACGAATATCCCCTTTCGGTAAATCAACATTTTTCCTCCACCCACTGTAATTTATTTCATTATTATTGTTGTTGTTACTGTTGGTAGATGTTGTTAGTAATGGTTAAGTCTGTTAGATTAAGAAACGGCGATGACTGTGGCGATGCAATGGCTGACTATGACGGCTACGGGCGACGATGACTTTGCTGCCGGGGGTGTAGGGCGGAGCCGTTTTGCTCAATCCGATCATTTTTGAATATTTTAAGACCAGTAATTATCATCATTATTCGATAGTCGAATGTATTTTTTGATAGATAGTTTGATAGATTTCAACTGGAAACTTATTTCTAAGCTATCTAAAAAATTCGAATTCTTTCCTTTCGAAACATAACGAAGCTTTACTATTCGTTTTTTATACTCTATAAATTTTAACTTTCAATTGAGATTTTAATTCGAATATATATTTCTTATCATAATTTCTTCTGGTTTTTTTCTGCTACTCAATGTATTTCTTTAGATAAAATTTATTCTGCCTAATATATATGTTGGGGAGGAAACAAAGAAATTTAAAGAGAAATTGAAAACTTGATTTGTTTTGCAAGCTCGAAAGCAAGTTCGTTTACTCTAACCGGAAAATATTGTTACAATGAGTTCACTTCAAACAAAAATGGTACTTAAACTCGATGAAAATAACTTGGAAGAAGTGGTGAGGTCGCAGTCATTACCGAGAGTTGATCAGTGTTTTGCTACAGATGTGTGTTCAAAAGAGCTTCCTTCCGATATTATCACCTCGTATTTATCGACAAGAATAATAAGTGATTCTCCATTTAAAAAAATATTGGAAGGGAATACTGTGATTGATGATAGTAACTGTTTACCACCTAATAGGAAGAGACCAAGAATTCAACGACCCGAACCACAGTATCCGAATTCGAATCGACGTACATCGGCTCCGGCTTTCTTGTGGTCTCCGACATCGTTGTTTTTCAACCAGGCAAGATTTTTTTGGAAATCACCTTTTTTTGAGGAATTTTTTTGATTTTTCAAAATTCATTTTCCAAATTTATTTCTTTTTTTTTTTTAAATGAAGTGGTTTTTGCGAGTTGGACAGCTTTTCATTTTTTTCTCACATTTATTGTTAATGCTGTGATTATTTAGGTTTGGTTAGATGATTTAGAACTTATAGTTTAATTATAGTGCTAAAAATTAGGTATTCTTAATCATGAGAAACAAACATTTATTTGATTCAAAGAGAACAACGAAAAGGTTACCACAAATTAATTTGGTCTCTGAATTCTCTCGGAAGAATTCCTGAAATATTTCTTTCGCTTACTTTTTAGAGTTTTATGTGAGAAATTGAGCTATTTAGCATTAATTTAGTGAGTTTTCTAGTTTTTTTTCATTTATCGGTTGAAATCGACTGAGATACTTATCTGAAGAGCGTTTCTGATCTAAATCAACTGATTGATGTGAGATCTTTTTCTGTTCTATACTTTTTATCTGAATTTATCCATCTTCGTTTCTTTTAAATTTTTTTTTGAGTCAGTTTGCTTTACTCAGTATTCAGTGCTATATAATTTCTTGAGAATCGAATATTTATTATTTCAGCCGACAACATCAATGCATTATCCAGATTATTGGGAAATTCTCAGTGAGCTCTTGATAAATCAGAATGAAAAAAATTCGAATAAATTATCAGGCCCCGATAAAGGCTTAATTCAAGACTTGGATTTTTTGTGGAACAACATTAACACTAATAGTGATTCACTGAATATGCGAATAACGCCGTCGCACCCATCGTTTTCTTGGTCAGCATTATTAAAAGGTTCTTTTCAATGCTTTTTTTGAAGATTTCCTTGATTAATTGCCACTTGTTGGTCATCAGTGATCTTGTTGCCACCTCTTTTAAATGGACTTTTTTTTAAAGTTTTATTTCTCTTTTATCTTATGACAGTCACTCTTCACTCTCTTAAGCTTTTTCTCCAAAGAAAAATTTAGTGTTTTAATCGCTCAATTTTCTTAGTTCCATGTTTTTTATTATATTTTATTCTTTTATTTTTATTTTTTATTCTTTTATTATATCATTAATTTTTAAATAATTTTATCTTCATTGCATTCCTTTCTGTTCTTCATTATATTTTTACCTGTTCTTCCTGTTCGAAATTTAAATAATATTTCTTTTTCTCCACCAAATTTCGAGTAATTTCAATGAAATAATTTATATTTTTTAAATGTTTAATATAAAATCATACTAAGTCCGTTAAATGTTTTGCAAAGTAAATAAATAAGAAGCGCCAACTATTTCTAGTTAAGCTGGTTTTGCTCCAAAAGGAGTTAGAATTTTTTATCTTAGCGACACAAATACACTACGTGGGTGCACTATTACCACTCGGATTTTAATGGCAGGTTGGTTCCTATCAAGTAATCGAACTCCTCCGAGGTCGAAACAATCATGTAACTCGACTGTCGCGGCCTCTATAAAGATATTTATAACTAAAAGGCAATAATTTTGGAACTAAATAAAGGATTTTTATTTATTTGTATTTTTGGATTAAAACCGTTGATTTAATTTTTTCCGGGATTTTTATTCCTACTTTAAATGAAAGGAAATTTTTTTTGCATTATTACTTTTAGTGAGATCCTCTTATTGTAATATTTTATATTTTATTATTGGTAAATATCCGGTCGTTGAATGGATTTTGCTTGTAGGAATAGTTATAATCTTTAAATAAAAGGAGGTTATTAAGGGAAAAAAGGAGGGAATTTAGGAATAATGCAGCAAAAGAACTAGAAATGGTTTGACGAATTGTTTTCTCCTATATCTTTGTTATTCGATCGTTAATTATCGTAATACAACTCTTATTTTTTAAACTTTTCTTGTCTATTCTAAATTGATGCGATCATTTCTTTCCACATCGTTCGTCACACGTTTATATACACAATATATAACGTGCATTTAATATAATTATATATATATATTTTATTGGACTTATCCGGTTTTACACTGGACAGGTATTACAATAACTGATGTGTTTTTCTGCTATATTAAAGATTTTTATCATCGAATAGTTTTGTTTTAAACTGAAATCTTAGAAAATGTTAAGTGGTGCAAAATACTGGTGCAGTTTATGGAAAGCAAATCCACATAATTAGTTAAATAAAATTAGTGCAAACCGAGTTGTTCGAATCTTCATAAATTCAAGATAAAGGTCTTTTTGAAGAATTTTGTAACTTTAAACTTAAACCGATGGTTAATTTCTTGATTTGCAGTTATCTTTCGTCATTAATGACCGGTCCTGTGGTATAATATGGCATGATGGTGACGGGAATTAACGGTGGGTGAATTGTGAAGATGACCGATAATTCCGATTAAATGTGTTGTGACCTTGTTTCATTTGTAATGAAATGTTCCGTTTTCCGCTTAATATTTGAATAGTTTGCAAATTGAATCGTTGGAATGGAAAAATGACCATCAAATGAGTACTGGCCGACTCAGACTTTAATCTTTTAAATGGGACATTATCATAGATTGGAATTTCATATAGAATTGACTTAAGATGTTGTTTTGATGAACTTAAAGTAAATTTTTCTCGTCGAACAAATATTATTAGAGGGATTGAAGTGGAAATATTTAACAAAAAATATTTTCAAATATTTAAAAATATTTTAATATTCTTTTGTATTTAGTGATTTTTACTGGTTTCCAGTAAAAAAATTTGGTTAAATGGTGTCGAAGAGATGAAGCTAATTAAGATGGTAAATTTTTAAAGATTTTTTTTGAATAATTCAATTTCAACAAGTTGTATTGTCATATTTAGAAAAATTTTTGGCAATTTGATAAAATTTTTGAAAATTTTACAAAATTTTGCTAAATTTGCTGAAAACTTATGGTGAATAAATGCGGTTTACTGAAAATTTTTATGGACAATTTGCCGATCATTTAGTCTAAAATTTATTATTTTTGTAACAAGGGCAAAGCGAATTCTTCTTCGAGGAAAACAATAAATTAAAATTGTCGGAATCGGAACGCATTAAAACCAGTTTGAGGGTGAATGTAGAGGAAACCGGAAGGAATGCTTTTTTATTTGATCGACTTCGATTATTTCAGTTGACGTTCTTTGAAATAATATTTGAGGGTAAGATGGTTGTTCAGTCGTCAAGGAAAAGCGATCAGATTTCGAACATGATGAGACAGCGATGGTTTGTCGTGAGTAGAGACTTGCAAAGTTCAAGTTCATTTTCAATCAGAGAATCATTAACTCTTTTGCACTGATTCGATATATAATATATTTAACGAGGATTTTCGAAAAGTGCTTCGATTGCCATCTCAATAGAAATTTCATGAATCCCACATTTGTGGTTTTGATCTACGAGTGTATAATGTTGTGATATATTTTGTAACTGGTGAAGTGACATGCATTAAATTTTTAATCGTAAAAATCATAACTCGTTTTTTGAGGAAGGAAAATAAATTTTTTTCCGCATCCCATCATGCATTCATTCATTTCCTTCACATATCGTATTATGGATATTATCCATTTTTTCTAAAAAACCATCGTATTCGAGGATAATTTTGGAAAATCAAATATTATTAATGCTTCACTTAATCTGTTCGATTCCGTCAACTTTTTTCTTTAAACTTTTGATCGTCGTAAGAATTGAAAAGTTATTGAAAATCATCAAGCATCTAGTAAAATTAGCGAAGCAATTTTTTTAAAAGTCTTGTTAATATTTAAATTTCAGAATCAGGATTTTTGAATCCATGGTTTTCGGCGAGCCTTTTCTATCCAGGATGGTCAATAATCAATAATCGTAATCCGAATTCAACACAAATCTCGCTAAATGATTTTGGTCTTTCAACGAAGGCTACAGTTCCATTGATTAATTCGATTATCCCTGAAGTAGTCTTCAATAGTGCTATTTTTTCAAGGAAGTCACATTTTCAAAATTCAGAAGATTTACAAACGCCATCTAATAGATTACTGGAGAATCGAAGATTTAGCGAACCTGTCACTAATGTTTATGGAAGTTCGCGTAGAAAAAGTCGTGAAGGTAGGATGTTTCTTTAAGAATTTTAATGGTGAAACGATAAATATTCCAAACGGAAGTGGCACAAGTATTCAAATTAATTGGATTTAGTTTTATAATTTTTTGATGTCTTTCTTCATTTCCTGGAAAAAAGTAGCAACAAAGGATGGTATGAAAGTGGTATTACCGATGATTATTAATAGCACTGACTGATTGTAAAGAAGGAGTGGATTATTGGAATAATTACGAAATCATTTATAATAATGGTTGGTACTTGTCAATATTTGTCAATTAAAGAACATTAATAAAATTCAAGGACAAGTGACGTATCTTTGGGAATTTTTATTACATCTTTTACAAGATGAAGAATATTGTCCAAAATATATCAAATGGTTGGATCATAGTAAAGGAATATTCAAATTAGTTGATTCGAAAGCAGTTTCACGCTTATGGGGATTACATAAGAATAAACCAGGCATGAATTATGAAACAATGGGACGAGCATTAAGGTAACCTTTATTAATTTAATGCTTAATATAATTAATTTATTCAGATCAAAATCTTCATGATATAATTAAGTAGATATGATTAAATTTCATCTATTTTTAATAATTCTTCGCATAAGTTTTTTTTTTTTGTATTTTTTCCCATTTCGCAGTATAATTTTTTATATAGGTACTATTACCAAAGAGGTATATTGCAAAAGGTCGATGGTCAGAGACTTGTCTATCAATTTGTCGATGTTCCTAAGCAGGTTTCTAATTCGATAAATCTGTAATTTTTCGATTTCTACTTACTTCCGCTATCTGAACCGGTTGCATTAACTGCTAAAGATAATGATTAATAAAACATTAGCGATGATTAAATTAATTTTTTCTTTTTGATTTTGGTAGTAATTCATTCTTATATTAATGTTTAATGTTATAATTTATCTTAAAAAAGAGAATTTTTCTGTCCTTATTCATGGCAAGAAAAAAATAAAAATTAGATTAAAAAATATTTTTCAGATGTTTGAAAACGAATCAAAACTTCCAAAGGAAACTTTAAATACTCTTGACAGCCCAGTAAGTCCATCTATAAATTCGAATCAACTACAATTTGAAACAGAATCACGCTCATCAGTCGTCTCACATTGTTCATCTCCAATCAATGCAGTATCGCAGAATTCTATCAATGAACAGCGGCAAGTGTTTTGCGCGTAGAAAAAATGCTTTACAATTGAATTTTTTCTTTAAAAAAATTGTTTTTTTAATTAAGATCTAAGTTTAAATACGATGTGTTCATAACCATTTCATCTTTTTTCTAATTTTTAAATTTGTATGTTATAACTGGGATATAAAATAGCATTCAATATTTTTCTGTCATCTAATAAGTAATACGCAGTAATGACCTTCATGGGTTAATTATCCTTTTTTTATTGCAATGTTTTAATCAATGAGTTTATTTATTTATGAGTTCGAACGAGGCAATAAAACCTCGTATATTAGAATAGGAAGACAGTTAAAAAAAAAACAATAGTATAAATAATAAAAATAGTATAAAAATAGTATAAAAAACCAAAATATTAGTGTTAACGTTAGTGTTAGAGAGCTTGCAAGGAGTAGATTTATCAAGATTTCTTAAAATTTTCTATTATTTATTATTATCTCATTATTTACTCTTATTATTTAAAATTTTGCGAATGGTGATATCCAATAATTTCAATAATTGATGGTGTACGTGACAGAATTTCATTCGTCTGACCATTTTGTTAGGAATTCACTTGACGATGCAGGTGAATCGTCAGCACCACCCAGGACTTTCAAAAAGCAGGTTTATTTTCACCAGAAGGAGAACCCCACTATCGGTATTCCAACATGCAACTCACTCAACCGTCTTATCTCCAAGTTTTATTTTTATTTAGGTTTAGACCATTAGGGCATAAAACCATGTGCTGGAATTAATGATAATAGAATGACAAAATTAGAATAGAGAAAATTTTTTCCATGTGTTATGACCTCGAGATTTCTTTTAAAATTGGAGGCCAAAAGCAGTATTGTATGGTATTTTATTCTGGTATACTTTACATTTCGAAGGAAAAATTGTGGGGCAGAACGTTGGTTCTTTAAATAAGCGTAATTTCAGTCCCTTACATCTTGTGGCTTCAAACTTCAAGTTCAGGTTATAAGAACAATTTAGGTTTAGGTTGACATGGCCGAATAAAATCTTTTGAGTGGTATCAACTCAAATTTTGTTTTATTTTCCAAATGAATGAAGACTATAATTTTAGTTCTTATTAATAAGTAGAAGGAAGTTAGGATTTAAGTAGGAAGTACTTTTTTATACCCATACCCACCCTGGATTAATTTGTACATGGGCTTAAGTAATTCCAGTAAGAAAATTTCAGCATTAGACTTAAAAATTATCCAAAGTAAGCCAAAGCATTTACCAAATCTGGAATCATGAGGATAAATTAGATCGTTTTATCCATCCACTTTTTATGAAATTTAATTAAATAATCTTGATTAAATTTGTAAATCGGTTGAATAATGGGAATTTAATTGTTTCGTTATGAAAATTGTTTCTAGAGGTCCTCAATTGACCCAATGAGTTCTGCAAAAGTAGGACACCAAGAGCCAACGCTATATTCTACATTCTAAGTGGAGCTTTACAAGTGCCTTATATTTTAAATATAGAGAGCCTAGTCTATTTTAAGTTCTGATTTAAAAATCAAGCATTCTTACGGTTCAACTTATCTTATTGTGTTATCTATCAAAACGATGGTTCTCATCAAAAATAGTTCTATAATCTTATAATAATGTTACCAATAAAAACTACGAAAAGTTAGGGTGTTTTAAACTATGACATTCATCAAATGATGGCTTATTTTATTTTTCATGAAATTACTTGACCATTATTCGACATTTAGAACTTGGTTCAGAAATTTTTTTTTCTAATTTTTTTTCTTCGAACTTGTGGAGTGCCTCTGTATTATATATTGGTTTCTGAGCAAAAATTGTGATATATCTCATGGTAGTTTATTTACGGTTTAGAAATACAGTTTAAAAGAACTTTTTTTTTAGGCTGTATATATTTAAGATTTTTGTAGTGCATCGAGATATATTTTCCAGTTTTTCAAGCAGTAGTAAATGAATCAAATATTATCGTCAATATTTGTAGAGTTAAGAAAAAAATTTAGACTATTAGCTAGTCACATTCATTGGTCTTTTATGATTCGGCTTTTGTTGCACTTCATTCCATCATTTTCAGTCTTTTTTCTCTTCGATAGTTTCTCAAATATTTATAAATTTATTTAATTTATACCATTCAATAATCACATTACTGATTTCTTTATATCTAAGTGATTCAATGAAAAAATGATAAATCCTCATCATTATTGGTAAAGAAATGAATATATATATATATTTATAATCTTTTAAATTTTCTAAATCACAACAAATAAGGAATCAGTAATCCTATAATAATTTAATTTAATTAATTATCGCAGCATAATTACGCCAAATGTATGGATTATATCCTCTAAGGTAATTCAATAAAAGTTATAAAATAAAACTTCTTTTTGACATTTCTATTCGCTTTTGCCTTGCCTTCAGTTGAATTGAACGAAATTTTGACCAAACGCCTTCACAGCAATGCAATAAAAATTCACATTTTAATCCCTTTGCAAATAAATATTGTTCTCTACAAGATTAAAAATTAATCATGAGGACATGTAGAATTACAAGAATGAAAAGATAAAATGACGACTGAAAAAAATTAAGTACCAATGATGCTCTATTAATGAATGGCGGGATGTTGTCTTTTTTAAGAAAATATAAAAGTAAATTCGAAAGATAAGATCGAGAATAATATTTTTGTCGAATAACGTTCCTCAGTTCATTTAATAGAAAAAAATTTCTTGAATTTAATAGATAACAAAATAATGGAAAAATAATGTCATAATGAGCGAAAATCATACCGATTAAATCCGATTTAACTAATTAATTTTTCATGGAGTTATTTAAATTTAAATTTTTTAAAATCACTTTAATATTTCGAAAGCGCGCCTGAAGGAATATCTTTGTGTGAGACTGAGTGCAAAATATAATTTACAGCGTGAGATCAATACTGGATTACCCAATTTATACGCAAGATAGAGCTGCTTACATGAAATATTTCCAGCTTCTTTGGCCTGAAAACTAAAAAAGCTTTAAAAAGAACGTAGACTGGTTTATCTTTTCTTTTGGAAACTTCGGATCAATCGAATCAACGTCAATCAATCGAACGATTCGAATCAATAAACAGATCCGTACTTTCCCACATTTAAATTTTAAAATTCGCAAAATAATGAAATAAAATAATGAAATAAAACTTATTAAAGGCTTACAAAATGCAAATAATAATCGCCCATGGCCGATAATGCTCCTCCATATGTCGAAAGCAACCACAAATTTTTTTCAAGTTCTAACGAACGGTTTAGTAAAAGAGAAATTCGAAAATCCCTAAAAATTTGCAAATGTTAGCAAATTATTGAAACTGAGTTCAAAATATAGTAACTGAATTTTCTGATTCAAACCTGAAAATACAAAAAATGATGTGCAAATAAATGATGGAAAAAAAAAAGATTTCAGTCAAAATATTCGAAAAATCATAAGATAACGATAATTAATAAGATAATGTATATCCTAAATTCTAAATTCGTCAGTCTTTTCACTTAAAGAAGAATAAATAAAAGAATTCACCAATGATGATCAATGGAACCAACGAACAGATCCGTAAATCGAAATTGCAATATAATATCCTAAATCCAAAAACTTTAAAGATTCGACAAAAAACTTGAACTTATAAACAAACATATGCAGAAAATTTTTAAAAGAACGATAACAGACAGTATGTAAAAATTTTTTAAAAAACAAATTACATTTTCGAGATCGAATTTTTTCTTCAAAACTGTAGTAAAATGAATGCAAAATTCAGGAGCTGCAATCAACCATAAAATATATCTGAAAAATTGCGGATTGACAAGCCAACGAATTCGGGTTGCCACACATCTCTTGTTATTTTCATTCACTTCTCTAATCATAAGTAAGGATCGATTTTGATCGACCATTACCAACTGCGAATCATACATCTTCCACCATAAAAATTCGTGATAATCTTTAAAGTGCTTTCATTCGTTATTTCAATTCATAAAATGAATACTCACCGAAAAAACTAAAAAAATTTAAGCTAAAAAGATTCTCTTCTAGTCGTTCTCTTCTTTAAAATTCTTTGTTTAATATCAAACTTTGATATTTTTAAAAAATTGTAAAAAACAGTCACTATATATTAAAAATTAGATACAATGTAACAAATATGGAGAGAAATGGACACTGGTAAAGCAATATGGAATATTGACAGAAATATTTATTTCCAAACAATTATTTTAACAATCGAAGTTTTCTTAAAGTGTAGAAGAAAAAACGGGGATATTGAGCATGAATGAAAATCTTATTTGAATTCGGATGTTCTCCCAGTATTGATATTTCTTTCAAATGAAGATACAAAGGCAAATGCCGAAAATCCTTGACTAAAAAATTAATGATGATAAAACAACTGGAAATGTCGTTTAAGTTATAATAAAAGTTTTTAAAAAAGTCTAGTTAGTTAATTTAGAATATTTGCTATTTAGAATTAATATCTAGTTTCTGCCTTGTTATTTATTCTGCTAAAAAAACCTCTCATATTGAGCATATGATAAATTTGTGAGTGAAGTGCCGGAGCGATTGGTTTTCCAAGATTATATTTCGCATCGCCAATTATAGGATGCCCAATACCAAAGCCTAAATGCGAACGTACCTGATGCAAAGCATCTGAAAATTTTCTATAGGTAAGAATATATATTATTAGAATTATAAGCTCATTAAGTTTATTTAAAAAACCTTAAAAAACATCATAAAAACATTAGAATTGTTCGAAATTATTATTGTTTTATTTTAAAAATCATTATTATTGATCATTATTGTTATTAAATTATTGTTGATAACCTAAAAGAAATCAATTAAATCAAAGAAAAATATAAAAGATATCAAAAAACAGCATGATAAAAATTTTATAGTATTATAAAAATAAATTTTAAAAACTATAAAAATAAAGAATTAACCATTTCTAACGATACATTTCACCAAAGAACAGTAGTTATTATCTTTTAATACTGAATATTCAGTAGCAACGTGGATAGCATCCTTCTTTATATTTGGGCCAGGAAAGAGAGGTCTCATCTAAATATATAAATTTATTAGAATAACCAATTAATAGATTTTATAATAATTTTAACAATTAATAATTTATTATCGCTGAAACGACCTTATTTGATAATATCGTTACCATTTTAATAAAAAAATTATCATTAAGCCATAACTATATAAATTGAATTAATTACGTTGCGAAATTTTTAAAAAACAAATTAAACATACAATAACATTTCGTCCATCGAGCTTCTTCACCAGCGGGATGTTGATAATAGCAGATTTTTCAGTCGGGATTCCTTTAATTAAAGTGTGAAAATGTTGTTCCACAAGTCCTATCCTGTATTTTTCTTTAATTTCTGAGTGGATCAATGCATTCCTAAAAATTTGAAATTGTGGACAAAAAAGCACTAAAGTAAAAATATCCTAGTATTTGAAGATATTCTCATATGAAATATTAAGATAAGAATAAGAATATAAAATAAACTTATTAGCTGTTCTCTATGAATAAATTATTCATAGTTCGAAACAGCTAAACATTAGCCCTAGGCTAAGGAGATAGACAATATAATTAGAAGAATATAAGTGAGAAAAAGAAGATTCATAATGTCAATGTAAAATAGCTGCAAAACCTAAGGACAGCAGGATCCACTTACCATCACAGTTATAGACGGCGGCTCAAAACAAAGAATTAGGCAGCACCTGATCCGGGCCTACTCTGCATCTATTAGCTACAGAAACTAATAGAAAGAAAGCTATCGCCCGCCCATGAACATCCAGCAATAGTTGATCCATCTCCTTGTGGCAGATTCTATAGTTAACACAGGGACGGTACTAATTATGAAAGATCCTCATAAAAGACAACACATCCAAGTATAGACCAATAACTTAACCTCTCCGCAATATAGAAAATACCAGGCATCATAGCCATCAAACTTCACCATATAAGCCAGTAAATAAGTACAATTTAAAAAGGCATTGGAAGATAGAGATTCAAAACACCAGCTGCTCATAGAAAAAACAATCAAAATTCAATGCCTCGATAGACCAATCTGTACATAGAACGATTATAGGATTATAGGAAAGTTTATGATTCAGTGCTCTACACATGGATTTGTGAATGTCTGGCTCTATATAAAGTCAACAAGGTGGGAAAACGACACTTTAAGTCAGTTTAAAACATACTACATAAGCGTCTATCAAGTGTGACATGTATCAAGGAGAAGCAATGTCCTCGCCATTGTTCTGCACAAATTTAAATTCAAGCCAGATAATCACAAGAACAATTCAAAAGCGGAACTACTATTAGCCATTTTTCTAGATGGATGATCAATTTATATTTTAAAAGCGACATCAACTCGTTTATTCATTTAGCACGAATCCTATAGCGAAGACAAAGAGATGTCAACCGGATTATGTGGCCAAATGGCAAAGAGCGGTAAATTAGTCATGACTGGTGGAATGGAACAGCAAGACATTTAGCAGAAATGTAAAGAGACAAAAAAGAGTGCAACATCTAAATATCCAAATACCACCAAAAAATAAGACAAATCCTGAAGGTTCAACTCAGTGGGGAAAAAAAAAATCCATGCCATAAACACACATGCACTGCCAGCCAATATAGCTGATATAATGAGATGGAGAAAGGATGACATGGAGATTTTTGATGTCAAGATCCAGAAATTCCTCACAATACACTTAATTTCCACAAGTCTAATATCCAAAGACTATACACCATAAGACTATAAGACTATTAAAAAAGAAAGGTAGGGCTTGGTAAGTGCCAAAGCCAGTGTTTTGAACGAGGTATTCAGAAATATAAGATATCACCAAAAGATAAGCTGTTCAAAGAATGCCTGAAACAATCGGTAGACAGCTGAGGTAGCTGATAATGAGAAAAAATCCTAACAATGGATGGGAAAAGGTGTAGAAATACTGAAGCGATGATCACAGCAGCACAAGAACAGACATCTCCACATCATCGAAACAGGTATGTAAAAAGGTTCAGACTGCGCAAAAATGCCTCAGAAATAGCCCAACACAGCGGCATGATGGAAAATGAAAGCAGAATTAGCATACAATGGAAGGTGTAACCAAGTACCTGGTATTACCTACAAGAATATCTGTTAAGTACATAGCTTAGATTAGACAGGAGATTTTCCAGAAAATTAGGGAGAATAATAAGACGAAGATCCCGTGGGACTTCTCCACCAGACAGAGAGAAAGTACTGGTCAATCAACCAGATATCGTGCTAGACAAGAATCAGCACTGGTGAGAGATATACCAAATGACAGGAATGTTAGGAAAAAAGCATATAAGAACCAGAGAAACCAGGGGATATAAATGGAACTAGAGAAGATTTAGAAAGTGAAGGACAAAGCAGTTTCAGGGATAATTGGAGTACTAGGAATTATGAACCCTTGAATTAGAAAAGCGGATTCAACAGATTTTAGGAACAACATCAGAGATTCTAGGAACAACAACACCAGTGCAACATCTGACCAGAATAGAGCACTCTTAGGAACAACTAATATTGCCTGAGGTTGAGGACAACCATTACCAACTACAATTAGATACTGAAATATGATTCAAAAAAAATTATAGAACACTACTTGTGATTTGTGATAATCATCAAATATGATAATCAATACAATACTTTGCAAATAAAAGTATCCCAGTTATGTCCTTATCGATTGCTCTGAGAAGATAAAGTCGGTCACAAACAGGCGCGACCCGCATTTTAACTTCTTGAATAATTCGATCAAACTGAGCTTGATCTGAAGGTGCACCTGAATATGCCATTTGATACGGTTTGTCGAATGCTATGATGTTATCTATAAATCGGGATAATTGATAACAATGTATTAAACAAGTAAATCCATTTCTAGTAAGGCTCCCTCCATTGGCTCTCTTACGATTATAAAATTGCCAGTGGGTCAATTAGCGACAGAAACACAATTCAACTATCAGCGCCATTCGCATTTTTATTCCAGGTTTATTCCCGTTGAGAAATAAATCCTAATTTCTCTACACGACAATCTGCCGTTTGACCCCCACTCTGCATAGGATAATGAACCAGATTCAAATGCAATATAAAAGTATAAATATAATGCAATATAAAAGTATTTAAAAGTAGAAAATAAACAAGCGAAGAGGCTATTAAAATCATCTTACTTTTAAATAAAAAATTCTGTTTGAAAAAATAGAGTAAAATATTATATTTTTCAAGATAAAATAAGTAAAAAATTTTTTTAAAAGTTATTATTATTATTAATAAAAGTATGCTTGTTATTATTAATAAAAGTATACTTTAAACATGGAATTATATGCAATGGTGATAACTATTTCTATATGCTTAATTTCCAAAAAACGCAGAAACTCAGCTACTCTGCCTTATTTTATCTTCAAGCAAATCTTACCATCATTGTGGATAACTCTCGAGCACATCATATCAATGAGATCGTTATGTGTCAATCTCCAAACGGGCTCAATTTGATCCCAAATCGCACGAATGCCGGATTTGTCGACAAAAGATCCATGCTGTAAGGCAACTTAAAAAATTTTTTCTCAATAGCTGTGTTATTGAATTTGCGTTTGAAAATTCTATAGCAAAATAACCTTTCTTATTTGTTGCTGAAAATTTTTACTTTTGATAAATCTCTTCTGACTCGAAATAGCTCTGAATTGTGACTACAAGGCTTTCTTAAAAGATTAACAGCAAAATCTTCTTTTTCTTCTTTTCTATATAAATTTGATCAAAGTTGTTGAAAAAAAGAAATCGACCTTATTGTTGTCATCCATTAAATGTTTTTTCGCATTTTCCAGGCGGTTTGTTTCCATGTTTCTGCAAGTTTATTGTTTTAAATTCGGAAAAAAACCGGAACAAGGATCATTTTGGCTTTT